AGGTGTACCAGTTAACATGCAAAGCGTGTAAAGAAAGATATACTGGGGGAAACGGCAAGATCACTTGGTGAAAAAAAGAGTTCAGGAACAAGAGGGGGAAGTCATTGGCGTTACACGAACACATGCAAAAGAAGCACAAGGGGCAGTCTCAGCCTGGAAATTCAGGTAAAAATATAGAACAGGTGCCCCGGCGAAGCGATGATCAGACAATAATGGAATCAACGTATATTGAGGAACTTAAACCGGAAGTGAACTGAAAGGAGGAATGGGCTGACAACCATAGAGAGCTCAAGCATGTACAATGGACGAACCCGGTTTCCGTGGGATTGGAAGCTCTTCGACGCGTGCCCGGGAGTCCCGCGCATCGCGGCTCATGAGGGAAACGCAACGCCAAAAATTCTTACTTAAGTAAGTTCCCACAAGGAAATATGGCTTTAAGAGAGATAAATAAGTTGTCAGGAGGACCCCTGTACAAGGTCAGAGACATCATCAAGTGACTGCAAAACATTATCTGAAATCTCTTTAAGGAGTGCAGATTCCGGGCCGGAAAAAAATTTCAACCAACCAGTTTATTTGTTAAACTTTTCAAAAGAATAATAAACTGGTTTTATTGAAATATAAACTTCAGTGATATCTCAATATTAATAGACAGCAAACGTATGTACGTATAGCCCGGATGGAGATTAATGATGCTAATGAGTACTGACTCAGTATGTCTCTGTCATTTCAAACAAACGATTTTCGCTGATGTTAGGGAGTAGTCAAAACGATGCTGAGATAAGTCAATGTAAATTTGAAACGATTTAAATGAATCAATACGAGCTAAAAGCCATCTAACGTCATCCTGTAGCTAATTGATAAAAGACATCAGCAAATTACCACTGTCGTTTCTCTGCATCTTTTCAGCACTTTGTGTAGAATAATTCAGCATCCCCATTCTAGTAAGGCTAATGCCATCATTGATTTATTGATTTGAACGTTGGTGCTATCATCTTTACTCTGATTAGTCAATAACACAGACAGATGCGATCCTTGTCGAGGATATACCCTAGGATGACTGAATTGGCTTTGACATAGGCTACATAAAGCTGACCGACTTTGCTACTAAGGCATTGACTTGATAATCATTTAGACCCAAAAATGATGTATTTACTCATTCCATTTACGCATTGCAAATTATGTACCGCTACAGCAAAAGGGTACCGTCCTTAAGGTCATCACGACCAACGAGCTGGATTCTCGTGAACCATGCATGCACGTATGCAAGTGTATTCTTGTAAGCACAGTCACGGGTATTCTCTTATTATACCCGCTTCTCTTAACGTATTTATTAATTTATGCTTACATTCACGTGTATTTAGTTGTCAATTGTGATAAATCGATTTTATAAAAATATTTACAAAACTAAATGTGAACTAATCACACTAAAAATGTCAATTTCCATGCAGATGGACACCGTGGATAAATATTATTGGACAGATTAGCCCTCCCAAGGTTTGGACAAGCGATATCTTGCAAATGAGCGTTTGTGGCCAACAGTATACAATTTCAAATCTTTTGAGCTATTCTCATCATTGTAAAAATTTATTAACTCCAGTTTCTTAAATATCTTGCATATAATTGGCTGTGTTTAGTTTAGTGACTTAGCTTTGTACATGGAGATTGAAGTTAAAGTTTGTTCTGTCAGAATGAAGTATTATTTTGTTGGAAATCATCCAGAGTATGTATTTATATCCCATTCTATAAGTAAAAACGCTACAAATATTTGTTAATTCGCTTCAAAAGGTTTCAAAGAGTATCAGTGAGGTAAGGCCTAAATTAAGTGGTATTGATATATTTTCATCACATTTGGACACTTTTGCAAGATACGTGCATATTCAGCACATTCTTAGCAAACTTAGTTGGCTTGGCGTTTATTTTGGGGGGGTTTCCTTTTGCTTTGCTTTGCTTTGCTTTTTGGGGTGGGGTGGGGTTGTCTGTTTGTTCGTTTTGTTTTGCAATTGACGGTGACTAAAATGGCATGAAAACCCGAAATACTTTACCAAAGCCGAATGCAAAAAGTATAAACATAATTCAAAACACTGCTTAAAACTATTTAGCCATTGCGTCCATGAGACAAGAGAGCAGAATAATAAAGCCTACCTCCGCTGAGTTCCAATATAAGGTAATTGAATCGTTCATTGAAATTCCCCCAAACACTACCCTCAAAATAACCCCTGACAACACAATAACGTATTTAAACAAATGTGGAAATGTGTGTCTGTTTACATTTTTGCTAGAAATAGATAACCAATGACTTGAAAATGTTTGCCTAAAAAATCGGAACACATGAAGCAAAAGAGTATACCTGCATTGTATTTGTTCGTCAAGGACATATTTCTTTTTAATCCCTGTGGCAAGTGTTTGAATAGAGGTTTAGCTTTTCGCTACATTAAATGTCTTCTTTCTCTTTTCATAATCAAGTTCAGTCCCATTTCATGCTGTTGTTTTGGTTTGTTTGTCCCTCCTTGCGCCCTCGATTTTTTGGGAGAACCCCCGCCTTTGTGTTGGTTATTGTTTGATCGGAATCTCAGGAATTCTTTACAGATTTCTAGGGGGGATGTGTTAGGTAACAAGAGTCTAGAGTGTGTATAGGGGTTGGACAGGTAAGCGGGGGTACCCCTCCGTCCCATATCTTGCCTGGTATATGGGAAATAGTCCGAGATATTCTCCCATTCGTTCAAAAGGTTGGACAGGGTAAAGCCTTGAGCAAGTACCCTCCGCTAAAGGGATCATGTAAACAGAGATAATTTACTGAAATGCTTGAAATTGCACCTTCCTGTTTCAGTTTTTGTTTTGCTATATAAATCTATATCTATATTTTGGCTTTTTTATTTGAATCTGCATATTCATGAGCCGCAACACTGTGATGTAGTCCGAGGCGCTGAACCTCAGTGTTGCATTGATTTGTGCAGAAATAATTCCTACATTTTTGTAACACCTCGCTGTAGAAGATTTCCATTTTCTTGGGCAATTTACTGTTGTATAAATATGTGGCAGTAAGCTCGTGATCAACGTTTTCAAAGAGCAAATTTGGAATTCAAAATTTAAACACTGAAACTGAACAGTGTCTCCCTGTATTTACATCACGCTAACAGCGCCCTTACCTGTCTGAAAAGATTGGTCAATTTTGAATGTTAGAAAAGCGCACTTTACTGTTCACTTTATACTCCAAGAAGATTTCAAACAGTTTTCATACATTGAAGAAGAGTTTAAACATGCACAAAAAGTGATTCGAAGAGAAAAATCATGGCACTTATCCTTTAAAGCAGTGATGCCTGTAAGTCGTATGAAATACTTTTGCAACGAATAACTTACAGTGAATGTTAGCACTTTCATAACACCGGGAAAAAGGCACCTGGTATAGTTGTTATCTCACAAAATGACATTCCGACCCCAGAATAAAGTTCAAAAGTCCATAGTGTACGGGCAAATGCTTTTTGTTAGTATTATCCATTATCAAAAGGCCTTACAAAGAATCATTCACAATATGAGGGTTCAAAGCTGGAGTAATATGTTGAAACGTTTTACTTTAACACTCACAGGATTTGAGTTCAACACAACATACACTACAGTGTACCACGAAAAGTGTAGTTATAATTTGAAAGGAAGCGTTACCTTGGGATCTCTTGGAGTTCTCATCTGATCTTGTAACGAGTTTAACAGAAAACAGTTTTAACCATAACTCATGGCATCAGTATAAGAGCGACGTACCTTGGAACGGAGGTCTAAGCCCAGTCACAAGTCATGTAATCACAGGTCAAGTCAAGTCACAAGTCAAGTTGGTCCAAACACAAGCAAGTCACAAGTCTTTTTGTCCAAGTACGAAACAGTTCATGAGATGTATGATTTCAGGCCACAGCCAAGTGATTAAGACGTGGCCTTGTGCAGACAGGACCGGTGTAGAAGTCGGAAACCGAACGAAGTCTCACGTTGATTATTTTAAGAACGCAAGGCATAAGTTAAAATTTACATTGGTTTGATTGAGTAGTTTTCTTACTTGCGTTGGTAACAGGTCATAATGTCCAAGTTAAGTCACAAGTCATTATTTGCAAGTCCAAGTCAAGTCACAAGTCAAAACTGATAGCTAAAAGTCAAGTCACAAAAATAGCGACTCGAGTTCAAGTCAAGTGTATCGCCACTTAGTGCACGTTTGAGGCACAAGGCCTGCACTGGTTTTAAGTAAGTGTAGGCCACAGCTCGCCTAGCGTTAATTGCGGCCAAGGCGAAATTTGACTTTAATGAGAATTCTAGGAAAACTCCACGTTGAACACACAACATTGTTTATAAATGGGATGGAACAAGCACATACCGAAAGTCATAAGCCGGCATAAGCCATCAAACAACCTGCAGACGCGTTATATCTGTGACGCAACCTTGCTTTTGTCCTGTACGTGACCCTGCGTGACCTGTCGAAAATATCCGGCAATCAACAGTGCTATAAAAAAAATGACGACAACAAGTTCGTCATGTTTCGGACATTCCCGGAAAAAGTCTAGAATTGACTTTTGGGTCACGTGATCCTCCTGTACACGTAGCCCGATACCGGACCCTTGAATCGACAGAGTAGCAGTGACGTAGTCGGGTACTTTTTGAGAACCAAGTTCTCTACCAAATATTTAACTAGTTAGGAGGGATCAAAGCTGAAGTACATCGGTATTTGACGGTACACGCATAAAGGTAAGATTACAAAGCAACATATTGACTTCAGACCATCACTGTTTGATTGAAATTAACTTTTTAGGACAAAAGTACTCGGAAAGTACTCGGCCGAGTACTTTCTGAGTACTTTTCTCCTTCAAACTTAAATTTTACACAACTGGGAGTGTCTGAAGTCTAACATTTATTTTGTAATCTTACCTTTGCACATTTACCATCAAATGCCTGTGCACTCTGGCTTTATTCCCTCTTACCCAGTTCAGTATTTTGCGGAGAACGTTGGTACTCGGAAAGTACTCGACTACAACACTGCAGAGTAGTCGGAGATTCTTGGTCTGGGAACCAGACTAGTGTACACACACAGTCTAATGCAGGCATTGAGTATATTGTCTGTATTTTTGCCATGCGAACGATGTGCATTTTTGTCACTTCGTGAAAACAGAGAAACACAGAGACCAAGCTTTTTATTAGCAGTTTGTTTATAGTTACTTGGAAAGCAAACCAACGTTTTGCTTTGTAAAACTGTACTGATTTGTTCTTTGGATCAAAGGAAGCAAAAAGGTAGGAAAAACACGAGATCGAAAAAATTTCGTCTTTTGTTTGATTTTCCGGGTTTTGCCACTCCGTGAAAACACCAACGAGAAGTTATTATGCAGACATTTCCGTTCTTCTATAGGATACGAAAAAGCATGAACAACAGTTTTGTTTTTGTTTCGTTGTATTTATTTCATGTGTAAAAAACTTTAAACACATACAAAAATAGTTGCAGCTGTGTACTTCGCCGTTTTGCGAAGTGACAGGTGCGTAGCGAAGGCATTTTCTTAGGGGTGTCAGAGTCAATTTGCCGACTTGTAACTTGTTGGCAACCTCGTGTCATGTAAAATTTTCAAAGTGCGGAAAATGCAAATCCGTGATGCGCTACATTTCGTACTTCAGGGGAAATGTCAATGGCCAACATGTATCGTTTATGTACCAATTTTGGATTCATTTGCTGACCAAAACTCTATTTGCCAGCAGGAATAATTATTGGGGGTGCCGCATCCCATACCCCGCCCTGTCCCTAGGCCCCAGATTAGTGACAGACTTCAAATGAGCATTATCTAAAGGTACGCTTTTCCTTGATTGTCTGTGGCGGCTAGCAGGATTTGAAGGTACGTTAATGGTGGCTAGCGGGAAAACGTATGGGTCACAGCTTTTTTTGCACTTCGCGTGGGCTTATTCCTTGCAATATCCTTGTATAGGTGATTAAAAAGGAGAACGATGGCCAAAATAAAACAAGTGAAAATACGCTTATCGCTAAAAGCATGAAAGCACGAACGACCTTTTTATTAATAAAAGTTAAAATGTATGTAAGCGATGGCGTTCATACGTGGAAAGAGTGCACAGTATGCACATAATCTAATTAGTAAAAATCAATAGAAGAATTTTGCGCAATTTTGCGGCAACACATATCAACTCATCATATTTCTGTGTTGTGTCATTCTGACAGAGGGACAAAAATGAGCATTTTTTTCCCACGAGATAAAAATGAGCTAAAATTCATGAAACGATATTTCCCACCTTTAAAACTGGTTTTATTTCTCACAAAACAAAGCACGCATGAAGTAAGTTTCATACGGTTATTTTCACTCTAACACTGTCAATAACCGAATCTCTCGAATGAAGAATCCCCTTCTTTCTCATTAATGTTCTTGTGAGGCGTAAGAATTATCATCTAACGTGATCTTTGGGGGAATTGCCTTTCTTGTGCAGAGGCTGTTAATCAAAACGTGCTAGATACAGAACAGAACATCGTTTTGAGTCAGCTTATCTTTCTGAGCCAAATTAATCACCATATGGAAATCAATGTTAAAAATCGATTAGGGACTTGAACCACATATCAGCTCGATTGAAAGAGTCAAATATTCTGTATCTTAATCCTGTTACGGTAATTTATTTGTTGCAGTGACATCACGGAAGAGGGTTATAACACAGCCTAGCTATCAAAGAACCAGACACGCTTGCTGCTTGCTTATGGTGTGGTGGTGAGGAATTTGGAGTCATGAAGCTTAATATACTGGTGGACTAGCGATGTGAACATGAAATTTGGCAGTCTGCGGGCAGCACTAGCCATGTTGATCATAAGCAGTTTCGCCACAATAGCTGTGCCCGGCGACGTCTACCCTAATCCTCAAAAGGATCTCTATCGTTGCGGACGCAGAGGACGTGCTTCATGGATATGTGACCCTGATCAAGTGCTTTCATTTCATGCAGGTGTGTATAACATCCCATGGGATCATGCAAAACCGCTGATTAGTGTTGGTGATCGTTTGCACACAAGTATTTCAACAAGCCTTGAAAAGTATTCCTAAAGGTTTTAACCCTAAACGAGCTGGGGCTTAATTCGCCCCTCAATATTTCTCCCGACATTGCCTCAATACATTCTTAACGAGCCAAACTCATAGGAGTGTTTTAAGTAACTCTTTGCGGTCCTTTTGGAACCAATTTCGTGAAAATTATAATATACCATTCTCGCGTATAACACCCATTTTTCCTCTGCCGTGCTTAATGCACGCGAGCAGTGGAGTAACGGATATAGATCCAGCTTTGGCACGTCCACATCTAAGCGCAAACGAAGTTTCAACTCCGTGTTGGCAAAACAGTGTCGTCTTTTAATAATACTTGGGAGGAACGTTAATGGCCATCGGAGAAAGGCTGTATTTCTTATCCGGTTGGCAACCATTCAGTACCAACTGGAGGATTATGTCAATCGTGGCGACAGTTTTGGCGTTGTTCACAGAGATTGCCAGTCTCTCGCATCCTACTGGAAGGAATGAAGAATGTAGTTGTAGCCGGTGTTTTAATGTATCAAGATTTTAATAGTAAAAATCATCATTAAATTCTGAAAGAACAAAGAGAAATGCAATTTCGAGTGTACATGCAATTTTGGTCCAATAGTTACTTCATGTGTACGCAAAAAAACCCAGTTTTTAACCGTACTGCAGAGACATCTGATTCATATGCAATAAATGCAACTTCAAAATAACGGGAACTCTCAGAAACACGCATTTTAGCATTAAATTGAAAATTGCTACTGTGACCGGATACAAGTACAGCAGTTCAAATTATATGAATTTTAACATCGGTGCAATTTAGCTCGGTTGTACAGTTCAGCTGTTGGTCTGAAATAAAACAATTAAAATAAAGAGGTGATAAAGCAGTACTTACAATAATAATAAAAATGAGTCAACAGGTCATTTGTTCTTACATGCAGCTCAAGAATTAATAACTCTGTCACTGACAACTTACATGACATAAAAAAACCTTGAAACATCGATTTACTTTGAACTCCAGATTTTAACCTTTGACCCAAGTGCGTTACATTTACAAGTAAAGTTCATAACACTCCAACAGATAATATAACCTGAAGGTAAAAGGTAACGCAGCGAACTTCCGGAACCCTTGCGCGGTCCTCCTATGGGGATTTTTACATTGGGTCGTCCTATCACGTTGGATGATTTTTGGAAGAATAATTCTAACTGAAACCTCCCACCATGAAACACTCATGCAATTTTACCTTTGTCTTCTTCAAGTAATATTTAGGAAAAGTCACTTGGAGATGGGTGAAAAATGAATTTTACATAACGACCTTTCACGTCCGGTGATAATAAAATATAAAATACGTGATATAAAATAAACCCCACAATGCAATTCTAGAACAATAACCATCAACGCCAATCAGTGAGTTAATAAAATGTCTGATAAGAGAACCTGTAAAATAGTTTACTTTTCAGCTCAGTTAATCTTTCGCCGATATGAAAGCTCACTTCCGACGCGTTGACCCACATTCTGAATGGCGCAATAGCGCCCCCGATAGTCCGTTATAATTAGACTCGAGCGAAACACCGACTGTACAATATTATACACTAGTTACTAGTACTATTTTTTATACTAGTTTATCCATGGAGAAATTTTATTTCTCCATGGTTTATCCAACGTTTACAGTCGTGTTAATCCTGCATGTACGCACCAGCAGCCTATTTGATGCTGTAACAATACTTCATTATTGTCGAATTTATCTCAGCGGAGGATGTCAACACTGCCCTGAGCAATCTACGTGTTGAGACTGAGTGTTCATGTCACAATGCTGCCCTATGCTCCAACCACACTGGACATGGTTACAGTGTGGCAGTGGCTGTCATGTCTTTTTTACCAACAACCCGAAGGTAAGTGTCAAGGCATGAGTGTCGGTCTGGAGTTGCCCCAAGTTGTGGGGCACCTCAAAGTTCCTTGCAATTTGCTGTTATTCATTTCATAGGTAGAATTACACCACTATTAATATTTTTATTGTCAAAAAAATCTCGTCTCTCTCCATGAAATAGTCAATAATGAACTAATTAATACACGCACATGACTGGATAAAAGCGAACGTTTTATCCCTCAATCTATAATGCAATTACATGGCTTTCAGTAACAGGAAAAAACACAGTAATTTATCAAACCTTAACATTGTAAAACAAAACAATTGTGGAAAAAGTCAACAAGTCTAAATTGTTAGGTCTTATTGTTGATAAAAATTCTCAGACTTCAAGCATATTGTTCCATTTGAAGTTCTGAAATGTCTTTATACTTCACTTATACTTCCTTATTTTTTCTTATTATAATGTAATCTGGGGAAACACTTTTAGGACGAACTTAGATAAAGTAATTGTTCTGCAAAACAAAATTGTTCGTGTAATAACAAACTCATCATTTTAGGGCCCACAGTCAACCGATTTTACAAAACTTAAAGTACTTAAGTGTTGTTAATCTAAACAGTTACCGCAGACGTTATTTTTTGGATAAATATATAATAATGTAGGCATACTGCCACTCTCCTCTAGCCAATTGTTTAGGACTACTTGCAATTTACAAAATTACTTTACAAGAGCAACATTTAATTTATCCTTGCATATATCTCAACACAGAGCGACTGCTTTTCAAAACAATCTTACATTTTCTGGACCCAAAATATGGAAATCCTTGCTGCTGTCTCTTAAACAGTCCATTTCCTACTGTTTTTTAAGCGCAAACTAAAGTTATATCTCATATAAATTTATACCTTTCAAATTGTACATTAGCTAAAATCCAGTTTGAATTACCAGAATATCGATTTTCCACCTGCTTAATTGCCCTTATGTAATATCACGCAGTTTATTTTCTGAACTTTACCAGTACATTTACTGTATATCTTTGTTTTTTTCTTTTTAGTTACCTGTGTTTTGTCTGTCTTTACGTTGTATTTCTTAATTGGTTTCCTTTTCGTTTTGGATTTATCTGTGTATTTTGGTAAACATAGCATGCCTTACACGAGCTTTTGCTTCTGTTAGGTTTTGCGCAAAGCACGGATATTATTCATAATAAGATCTTATTGATCCAATTATATCTAATCTCATCAAGTTGCGTGTAATAAGCCATACAGTTTCATAAAATAAACGGCTACAGATTGTGTTGGATATCGCCAAATTACCTTAACTCCACAATTGGCAAACGCTGAGTTGTAAATTCAACTCCCTTGTATCCATATATAGGCCTAGAGCAATACTGACCAAGTGTCGTCCTATGATAATAGGGAGAGTTTCAAACTAGAACCACTGTTTGCTGTGCAGTGCCATCCGTCAGAAACAGTGACTGCGTTGCAGCCGTGAAATTGGCCTTTCGTAAAAATGCTGCAAAACTAAGATTTTCTTCGATAATGCAGGCAACTCATCACCGCAACAAGCTATGCAAAGTACCTCAGGGAACATGAATGGCTATATGGTAACTGTGAGGACGACGTCGTCATCGTTGTCTCAAAGCTGGAAAAACAGGTATTTGTCAAGAAATACATTTATTCATTGCTTGTCAGTCTCACAACGAGTTTGCTTCATGGTGGGTGAATCAGATCGGCACTTTGCCGCCTTCCACTTTTGTGCCGATGTTCAAACCCCTTTTAAACCGGCAAGTGGATTGGATTTTCATTCAGTGGGGTTTTTACAGTTCCACAGTTGAATACGAGTTCAGCATACACCCGTGCGGTTAATATTAACAAGAACATCATTGAGGATATTGAATTAGTTGCCGTGAGGCATGATCAGAAACATTTTAAAAGGAAACAATTTCCAAAACCTTAGTATTGTGAGACTAACCATGGCGTAAGACTTGCCATCTCATTTGTTTCATAATTCAGAGGGCGTCATTGCCCGGAAACATCTTCTGTACAATATTGTACATTATTGCAAAATTTAAAATATACGTTGCAAATTATTTACTGTGTTATATGTATTGCGTTTGAGTCATTCTATAAATTTAGGGTCTGACGTGCGACTTTTATGTCTGTCCCTGTTACACCTGACCGGAGTAATTTGAGGAGGGACATATTACTGAAATTGACTTCGAACTATTTTCATTTGTATGGTTTGGTAGGTAGGTTCCATTACTTTATCACTCATGGGTTTACAACAGTGTGTTTTAAACATAAAAAATCATACACCAGGGACTGGTATGTACTTAATTCGGTTGTGGTGAAAGTACGAGAGAGTAGCAGAGTGTGACTGGTGTCAAATGTCATGTATCCTAAATTTGATCGTTTCAGTCCACGATTTTGCAGGTTAACAAAGAATGATGATGATGATGATGATGATGATGATGGTGATGATGGTGATGATGGTGATGATGGTGATGATGGTGATGATGGTGATAATGATGATGGTGATGATGATGATGATGATGATGATGGACTACTACTACCACTACTTGATGATGATGATGATGATGGTGATGATGGTGATGATGATGATGGTGATGATGATGATGATGATGATGATGATGATGATGATGATGATGATGATGATGATGATGATGATGATGATGATGATGATGATGATGATGATGATGATGATGATGATGATGATGATGGTGATGATGATGATGGTGATGATGATCCTCCTCCTCCCCCTCCGCCCTCTCCACTCCTCCTCCTCTACCGTATTGTCGTTAGGATTTGCCAGGTTTATGTCACCTCGGTGGGGGGGGGACAAAGCAGTCGTCGATGATGTGCTGTGCTGTTTGCTGGCCTGCTCCGCAAATGCAGGCAGTTGATGGGCGCAGTCCCAGTGGTAAATGTTGGCGTTGAATCGCCCGACCCCCTGTACTGTGCGCAGTCGATTGAGGGCGACCCATTCTCTCAGCAGTAGGCCCGTACGCGTATTTTTTTCCTCGGAGGGTAAGGGGTAATTATAATATCAAGACCAGCATTCGTGATATGGACATCGTTTGAGCTACTAGTAGTAGAGTGGCGGTTTTTTTACAGAGCTAGTTTGGATGTCAGCAAAACACTAACCTATGGTAGACTAGCACTGCTTCGGTCTTTGATGTTTTTGTCGTAAATATTCAGTAATTTCAGTGCACCACATTCTATTAGGGCCCACATGTCACTAGTGATTAGTAGGAACAAACTCTTGCAGATCGTGTTATTTGTCCCATGTGATCACTACTAGAAAGCGTGAATTAGTGGCTCAATAATTTTTACGGTCCTCATTTTACGGTACATTTTTGCAAGTACAAAGCTCACTGGCGATTTAGCACAACCAAACCTGACGGCATTGTATCAAAGAAAGGTTTCTATCCCAATACTGATCTCATGCTTTGTGTAAACAACTTTTTGAAAAATAGTTTTTTGGCTTGCTTTGTATTAATTTTGAACTGCCTACTGGATTTTATTTTACCTCTTTGTCACAGAATGTAGGCCCACGATAATGCAGACTCCCTGTCAGTGTTTTGGTATGGCACAATAAATAAAGATATTCTCCATAATTTGTAGGTTCATGCACTTCATGCCCTATCAACTTGATTTTTTTTGGGGGGGGTGGTGTCAGGAATGTCTCAAATCACCCTTCAGATTCTGTTTTTATTAACGGTAATCGTCAGAAATCTACCAGTGAAATGTGAAGGAAAGTCGTTCCTGGCATGCCTTAGGATCGGAGTTAGTCTTGCGAAATGTTCTGCATGCGGCTCAGTTCTAGATAAAGAAAATCCTTCTTCTAAAAATTACTATACACAAATTCCAAAAGACCTCGGTTTTCTCTCTTTTTCGTTGAATTTGGTTCTGCGAACAATATTGTTCTAGAGGAACCCGCTGAGAATACGCGCATATTGGCGACCGCGCGAACACTTGAACGCTACTAGCTCATCAGCCTTCCATGGGCGGAAATCCCGGGGGACGGGGAACACGTCCCCCATCCAAAAAATCGGTACGGGGGGACACAATGTCGAATGTCCCCTCCATGCTTTAAGCAAAACAAAATACTAAAGGAATTGATGAATCCAAGATTTTCCCTTTAGATTTTTTATAAATGGGATAAGATAATTAACACCGTGTGCACAGAACACGTATATGGAAGCCCCCCCCCCCACGATCGATGAGAGATTTCTGCCCATGCGGCCATCACTGAATTTGGGACTTAGACTTGAGCTTTTCTTCACGATTACTTAGGATATGACCATCATTTGCAAGTTCTTGCTACTAATTATCACTTCTGGGCAGTAATCGTTCTTTTAAATTTTTTGTGGGTTAACCAATTACATTTTTAATTATTCCCACAAAACAAAATCACCCACCAAAAAGTGATTTTTCTGAAGTCTGATTGCAGCCATTTTTCAAGTGGCAACCCTCAACTTTCTCAGGCACTTTGGACCATTTTTCAACCGTAGTTTTTAACCATTCTGCTCTCATGAAAGCTCAAAGACCCAGGGAGTTGATCCTGGCGGGATTTACACAATCTCACCATTTTAGGGACCAAACTATCTCCTTTTTCAAAAGATACTGTGGGGGCACTTTAAATGCTAATGAGCTGGCCAGAAATTCTCAATTGAATTAGTGGTCTGCACTCCTAGGGAAAAAAATTACGCGGTCCGCACCAGGTTCGGCAATGGGCAGTGGTCTTTGGCTCAGCAGTGAATGGGGCTGGCACTCAAGAGATTACGATGGTCGGCCGACCATCGTAATAGAGTTAATTTCAGTTCGCATATCACATCCTTTAACAGGCGCCAAATTTCTTATACGTAGTGTTTACAAATGTTGTGGGAGTCTCCATTAATGAACGGATAAACCTAAAAGCAGCTAAAAATATACTGACATTCTTTCACCAAAACACTGTTAACTGAAATTATAGTTACCTGAGTGTTAGGCGTAAAGTAGAAAATAAATTGGATCCGTGTGCAGTTTAATTTCATTTAAGGAAAGGTGTTTTTTACGGAAAACTTTGTGAATTGAAAATCACCCCTAGATAATAATGGTATCATCCATTATGGCGGCTGTTTTCGAGCACGGTGATTTTCGTCAACAAAAAGGACGATTTATACACGTTAATCCTCCCTTGTTTCAAGACATAATGCTTTTTTACTTATAATTTTTAATGACTCAACTATGAATGGTGTTTTAGACTTTCATCGCCGTGTGAACTGACATGAAAGTGCCGTTTTAAACACGATCGCGCGCGCACGTGCATTATCATATCGTAGCGGATTGGTTTGCACACACATTCATACAAACTCAATGTATAGCTTGTAAATGTATATGTCTGTTCAAGGACACCGTACCACATGATAGGAAAAGGCATGATGGGATAGGTGATCAACGTTTTCCGTAAAATGGCGTCCTGAGATGTGGTGAGATCGTTAAAGTTGTGTTATGTTATCGTTGTCAAATCCGCCGGCTTATCCTGTGGAATATTGTGCGGACTGTCTGTCTCCAGGATCCTAAAACAACCTGTAGTGATCGGCCCGTTACAATGTAGGCCTACTCGTTTCGGTGTCACGGACACGAGTAGACTGCTGTGTTCCTGGATGACGTTTTTCCATGAATCTGCAATGAAATGCTACATTGTCGAGGAGGTGCATTACTCCTAGCCGTTGAAAACTGCTCCTTTTTTAAGGGAATGGGAACCTGTCAATTTTTCATGCTCGTTTCCCACCCTGACCCCGCGGACGATGTTTGCTTGTACTACAAACGCCCTATAATCCATACATTTTACGCAAGATAAACTACAAGACCTTCAATTTAAGCGTCGAAAATGCCGCGCTGTTTTTCTCGATTTTTCACAAAGCAGTTGACTTAATCATGAAACAAGTGAGTGGAATGAAAGTTGCAGTACATACTACACACAGTGGGTACATATTACATAACAGTGGGTTTTATGTGTTTTAAGTTTGTATTCTTTTAATTGAGATTTTAAATGTTTTTAAATTTATTCTGTACATGTTTATATGTATTTTTTATCTATGCTCTCTGTATCCCATCGCTATATTTGTAATCTGCGTCCCGTTTTCGGTTTGTCCTTTTACGTTATTTATTTTAGATCATACATAGTACATTTCCTCATTGGGTGGGGGTGTGGGAGAGTCCTGTTTCTGTATGGATTTTGATTTTTTTCTAAGGTTGAGTGTTTTCTAAGGTTGAGTGTTTATTATATAATTTTTCTTGTTTCCTGTTCGTCCGAGTGTCTAGTGTATGTTTTTAATAATCATCCTGTATTCTATTTTATAATTGTTTGTCTCTGTATGTTTGAAGCTTTTTTCTTTCTGTTTTATTACCTTGTAAATGCGCCTGGAGAGCTACCAGATAGTTATTAGGTTAACTTATTGGCAATCCGGCAGGGGCGCCTTTTTGTTGTGTCATTTTATTGTATTTACCTGCGAAATAATAAATGAAATGAAAACTGAAACACACTGTAATCAGTCATTCCAACCATTTGCACTGTGAACAAAACAGCCAGTTTTAGCAAAGGCAACCTGGATTTTCAAAGGATGGTCATTCTTGGTGAATCTTCAGGTGGAATGAACTTACAGAGGTAGTGGCATCTGTCAGTGTGTTTATGACTGTATAAGCTTCTTTTATGGAGACATTCATCCTTGAAGGGTAGCTACAATGGGATTGTCTTTATTCTTACCTTCAAATACACTTACGTGCCTCAGATAACCTAATTTTCCATTTGTTTGCACTATTTCAAAGGGTGTTTTACTGCCTCTTTGGTTTTATTCCAATGATGTCATCCCAGGATGCAAACCTTGATTGGTTTGTACAAAAACATGCTTTTTAAAGACTTTACTTGACTAAATTCCCTCTTCCGTTTGTGATTCATTGTTGAATAATTACATGGCAATACGGGATAAATCAACAAGTTTTCAGTGAGTAAATTCTGGGTTCACAATTTTAACAGAAAAACCTATGCACTAAATTTTGTCTTTCCTGGAAGAACGGCGCCCCCAGTTATCCAAGAAAGTATGGATAATTTTAAATAGATTTAAAAAGTGCATTTTTCAATGCATTTAACTAAACAGGAATGAAAATAGTTTTCATATTGAACAAGAGTATGCATTTGCAGAAAAACATGTGTCCAAGAAAAATCAATTGGCGATACACTTTAATTACTGCAGTACAACACTGTATCCCGATCTCTAGTCCGTACAAACCATTATGGCACTACGTTTTGTATGCATTCAAGCGTGGCACAAGTGGGAACTCCTGTAGGGATCGAACTCCATCCACCAAAAGCCATGTTGTGGCCGAATAAGTGACTCATAGAGCCCCTTTTAATTTAGCCAGAGATTTATTTTGTAAAGGACCGTCCGATAAAACCCAACAATTTAATACTTTCTTCGTGCTTCTGAAAGAAAACGTTTTCTTTCTATACAGTGTATTGCCCTCATGTGGGGAAACCAAAATAACTCAAAAACAGGAAGCCAGATTGGAGTACTGTTGGAAGGTGGAGCATGCTCGCAGAGAACGAAAACGGAAGGGCAAAGGTTGAGGGGAAAATGCCAAATTAAACAAAACTTGTAATCGACACTGTCGTCACAAACTGACGGCGAGGAATAAACTCCTCAAAATCTAACGCTAAACGCGCACTTCCGACAAAAGCCGGAGTCTGAAAGGCAAAAGCCAGTGTTACCTGATCGATATTTTCTATTGGCGTCAAAACGCTAAGCCAAACAGGCAAATGACGGAAATTGGGGAAAAAACCGCCGGAGTACCCAAAGAGGGTGGGTTAAAACCAACGCCAATCAACCATTTTATGATGGAGATGAATGCCGTCTGGACAAACAAAAGGTCAGAAGGGTGAAGTAGGCCAATGAGGCACTATCAGTGTTCCCGCGGCATTGGTAGAATCAATATGCTTAACAACTGGAATTATACAAGACACTGACGGACAGAAATAGTTATTGTCATCCTGCCACTGTTGACAAAACGCGTCAACTCCAGAGGAAACCCTACATAAAAAGCGAGAATTAAATCTAGCGAGTTTGGCATTATATGGGGACGCAAAGCGGTCAATTGTGTGACACCGTGAGTTCATGATCACGTGTTCCAGGTACAGCTTCTAGTCTTGGCTGTGATTGATGTCTCTGGCTTGGCAGAACAAGTTTTTCTTCTCGTGTTGGCAGGCACATCCGAAAAATCTGCCATTTGTGGGGATCAGTCGTCGAATGGTCGATCAGGCGGGACATACTTTGCTAGATGACGGTCGTTTTCTTCATTTCTGGGTTGAGCTTTAAAAATGCGTTATTACATGTTTGGTAAGGAATATAATGCCAATCTGCTTAAGATGGATACCATCAGGTGTATAAAGTGGCCAGTAGTGTCTTGTCAACAAATTCCCATCTGGATTGCGCAGCCATATTTCTCAGGCCAGTATTGGTAGCTTGGGCTGAGATCTCGGGGGTGGATAGGGGTATCCACACACACACACTTTTTGATGGTGGGGGAAGGAAGGATTCAGATGGTGTTCATTTCGCTTCAGAGGTACTTGATGTTGGCTTTTTTGGGAGTAAAATTTTGTTGTCCACGTAGTAAATTGGTATTTATAATTGATTTTCAATGTAAGAGTTGAAGAAAAAGGTCTTTTCCATTTGCTTGTGAAGTGTTAGAAATTGTAATGTGAGGATTATCCATGCGGGCTGGAGAACTTGACATTCTATTGCTGGCTATGTTTGCATTCTTTTGAACTGACGGTAAACTGTTATTTCAAATACTCTTACAATTAAAACACTTTTGCTATCACCTCCTCTGTTTATGCTGCAGGTTGCTGCTTCTGTTGGGGACACTGCTGCACGGAAGCTCACCGCAAGGGTTATGGCAGATATCTTCAGTGACACAAGTGACAACTTCCAAAATGGAAACTTTTCAGAGGGACTTTTAGAAATAATTGAACGCATGAGAGCAGCATTTCGAAATGACTACGTCATTACTCCGTCTTTTCCAGTGTGGACTGTCGTTCAAATGGCAATGGCAACTCTGTTTGTTTTGATTTGTTTTTTTAGTATGTACATATGCAGAAAACTTTATTCTTAGATTTTTAGTTTGAATGAGTTTGAAATCTTGAAATTGTGAAACAAAAAAACAAAAAAATCGCATGCAAAAGTCAAGGACCACGATGGTCCACTTTGATTAAAGGCAATTATGGGTGATGAATTTTTATATGACGCATCCAAGCTCTCTGAGATTCAACTTACATAATTTGGTGCGGTTGCTCGCTGTCATTCAGATCATTTGCATAAATCAGCCGTTATCATGCTAAAGAAGATTTTCAGTTACGTGATTTTTGACAGCGTTCAATTTCTATAGATATGTGTGCGGCAACAAGCACCTCTGGGTAGTCTCTCAACATACTGACGCACATGAAATTACCATTTGAAATACACAGGTTCGAAAATGCACGCGCCTTCACGAACAAGCAACGCTTCCTGAAATTTCTTTGCCCGTCATGTCACGTCACATGGAAAACCTTTATATTGTCAAAAGAGTAACATCTTTGTTTTGTTCTATTCGCGCTGTTTGGATTGTACACATTCTTCAACCTAGATTTCTTTTAGTTGTGGGCTTAAATTGTGTTATTTCATCTTGAGTATCCTGTTTGGGGTTGATTTCTTTGACATGAAAGCATATAGATCACAATGTGACATCATATGCACGGTGGCGGTATTAGTGGTGTGTATTAAACCTCTACGATGATAATGAGCTTTATTTGGAAAGAAATGTATAGTTGACTGTATTGACTGTTTGAAACACTCTGTAAAGCCTTACAAACACAACACTTGTTATAATTTTTCCTAGTGCCTTTTTTACTTGTCAACCAAAGTTTGTAATTATAACTCAGCACATGCGATGATGTCAACAAGAGAAGGTCCTTTTATACACTGAGTAATTTTGGGGAATTGGGTGGGACAGATTTAATTAGAAGGTCGCACACATTTTATTACACATTTTATTTCTCAGACTTTGTAAGATATTTCTGAAAAATATCACTGCCTGCAAGTTTGAGAAATTCTTAGGAAAAGTGTACAGGGCCCACAGAGAGGTCAATTTTTGACTGGGCCACTAAGGTCAGGATGTGGATTTCCTGAGAGGCTGCTATAGAGCCAGCCTAAACTACTTCCAAAACTGATTCGAGATGCCTTTCATCTTTTGTCTCATCTTTGTTTAAAAGTCTTTACTTGCTTGACTTCTGTCAGAAATGTCATGTTAATGAGTTCATGTTAGTTAACTTTAAAAAAAAAGGTCAGTGCAGATTTTTCTAATGCACGTCCTTGTTAATGGCACATTTGGTGACCCATTGAACACTTTGCATTCAGTTTAGTTTTGGAAATAATAGGGAATTTTGACAACTTTCTGGTGATGCCAAGGAAGGATTTGCGTTTGCGCAAAAGTGACAGTGTTTCACCATTTCAGGAAAAATTATCATGAAAGTCTCTGTCCGCACTTAAATTTACGAGAGCTCATTAGCGCCAAGCTATGGAGCATCAAAAGTGGACAACCTTATTTTCTCATTTTCTGTCAGTAGATTTTCGGGACTTTGGACTTTGCGTATAGCATTTTAAACGAAATTTTCCGCTAGGAGAAATTTGGACTTTACTTTAACAACTCTTCGTGGCGCGTCAAAAGTGGACAACTAAAAACTTCAAATTTCCACTGGCAAAATTACTGTCATGCTTCCAAAGTGGACAACCCCATTTTCTCATTTTTTGCTAGTAGATTTTCGGGTTTGGGGAATTTACGTAAAGCATATTCAAAAGCTCAATTTTCTGCTAGCAAAAATTGGGAATTTACTTAAAGAAGTCTTTGTACCACGTCAAAAGTGGACAACTAAGAACTTCAAAATTCCACTAGAAAATTTTATTTGATGCTCCCAAAGAGGACAACCCCATTTTCTCATTTTCTGCAAGTAGATGTTCGGGTTTTTTGAAGTTGCACCACCCCTTTTCATAAAACCCAATTTTCTGTTATTAGAAATTTGGATTTTTCTTTGCCGACGGCGGGGTGGACCAAAAGTGGGCAAGTTAAAACTAGAAGGACACTTTCCTCCCTGCGTTGAAAATGAACGGTCTTAGGAAGATTGGCATCACCCGACCCTGAAAAAAATAAGGTGGACGAAAGTTGCGAGGCTGCGAGAGTGACGGTCCTTTGTATATATACATGTAGGTTTACTGCAAACGTGTGGAGCCGTCTGTTGACGGGCATCAGGCGTCATTTCCCTTGCTGCATGTGATCGGCCTTTTTCATGCAACTTGTATATCCATTTAGCCGATTTTGTGAAAAAGATCGGACCTTCTTCACGTCAAGGATGTGAATTGTATGGGATTTATCGCAGGGGAGTATTATTCTATAGGAAATAAAAAATTATGGTGGAAGTTACTCGGAGTGGCAAAAGTGAACGACCAATTTTTTGATATTCAGATATCCTAAGATTTGTTATTCAATCCACCGTCCATGCATTTCACAGTACAGGTATCTGATGACTGCTCTGGGCCGTCAATTGCAAGTTTGTGTTTAAATTGCGTCAATATCCTTTCACGTTGTCACTTTGAATCATTTGTCTTCATATTTATGACCCAGGCCTCCACTCTAACTACCAACATGTATTGATGACTTGAACAAAGATTTGAATGATAAATATTAAATTAGATCTTTGATGCCATATCAGTGACCGACTGGTGTACTGGCTGAAAGATTTATTTACTTTGTGGCTATCCTTTTTTGTTATTGGAATTACCGGCTGAATACGTGTTTTGGAATTACTTTGTGGGATGTCAAAATTATTTCAGCAAATTCAAGTTTTTGAAACTCTTGATTCACTAAACAGCACTTAGCTTCTTCTCTTGAGATGACTTTTTTGATTACAACCTGTTTTCGTTCCACAACAAATTCAATTTTTCTACTGGAATGGACAGAATGGTTTATTCTAGCTATAACATCGTTAGGGACATATCACCATGCGCTCATTTATTCAAAATGGAAATTCCCGACGGCAAGCCACCACCGTCATTCGAATTACACTGTGTGCTGAATCGGAAGTTTGCGGTACCATAAAGGACTGTCAGGCTTTCGATGGCCCCTTTCGTATTTGCATTTCTCCGAATAGGAATCATCCATATTTTTTCCCGAGCAGTGAAGCCATCCGCCGACGCGTCAGATGCAGAACATTGACTCTCTACGGTTGATGTTGGCTGCCCATCTTCCCAAGACCGTTCCATTCTGAGCGTAGGGGGCACAGCGGTCGTTTCAGTTTTCAACTTGTCCACTTTTGGACCACCCCGCAAAGTAAAATCTAAATTTCTGCTAGCAGAAATCTAAATTTCTGCTAGCATAAATTTGGATTTTAATTTTTTATGAAAAAGGGTGGTGCAACTTCAAAAAAACCGAACATCTACTAGCAGAAAATGAGAAAAAGGGGTTGTCCTCTTGAGAGCATCAAATAAAATTTGCTAGCGGAAGTTGAAGTTTTTAGTTGTCCACTTTTGACGCGCTACGAAGGCTTCTTTAAGTAAATTTCCAATTTTTTGCTAGCAGAAAAGTGAGTTTTTGAAATTGTTATGTGTACGTTGACGTGTGTACATTGGCATAGCCAAAGTGAATGCCATCCTATATGTGTGCGACCGTCTAGTAACGTGTGGTAAATCCGTAGTGACAGGATTGGGAATCTGTAATAACGGATTGGCAATCCGTAATAACAATTGGCAACCAATATTGAGAATTTTTTTGTTTCCAAATTTAATGTTTGTTTTTGTTTTGAGGGGTTTTTCTAGTACAGAAAAGTAAGGTTGTGACAAAAGGTCCTATCAAATTCTTTGAATTGGGAAGTGAAGCTAGATTTCTGGTATACGTTTACCGCACGATAACTTTGGTTTAGCGAACACAATCCTCTGTCTCGGGGTCTGAATAGGATGAATGGAGGTCCCTTGGTCCATGCTTGGACACACACACAGGAAAAAATCAAAGCACTCTAGCAATTTACATGTTGTTTCAGCACTAGTATAATACATGTCGAAATCTATCCACCCCATCCGCTCTCACCTCCATTTCTCCACCCCCCCCACCAACAACCAGAAACATTGAAACCACAGAGAATGTGTAATACCTACTTGTACAAGTTGAAGAACACTAACAGCCGTAGACAGCTTGGCTTTCATCGACCTTCGCATTAGCCTTTAGTCAAGGCGCACGTGGCCTAGCAGCCAGAGTGTGGGTCATGTGTCCAGGTAGCCGCACGTGCTTTGAGTAAAGCCTATCTTTGCATAAGCCCTGCCCCCCTAGATTGAGCTCCTCGCATGTACAGATGTATGGTGCGACCAGCCAAAAGGTCCTTGATGTTATATCTAGTCCCATGGGATTGGTTAGAAACAGCTGTTGGTGACGTTCAGGCAGTGGGCAACAGTTAGCCTTGGTCAAGGCGTTCGTCATTCGTCGCAACGCAGCGCAGCTCGCACCAGCCGCTCGCTGACCTAGTAGGCCTACGTATCTGTACCGTACATGCGCGTACGTACATATGTTCACACCTGCATACTTTGCAAAATCAAGGCGAAGAGTGACCTCACACGGCCCACGAAATACGTAAATCAGCAGAACCAGGACGAACGTCTTGGTACTGGTGCAACCGTCCGCGGCCGGGCGGTGCTAATGCATGAGTCAATGTTTTAAAGGAACCGGTAAATAGAAATATTTTTATAAATTTTACTTAAAACCTTTGAAATTGCATCTCTGGGTTCAATTAACCTCATTTTAAATTTTTGTTTTGCAATTTTAACCCATATTTTGATGGTTTTTTGGCTTTTATGCTAATGTATTTGCATATTCATGAACAGAACTGTGATGTCATCCAAGGCACTGAATCTCAATGTTGCACTGATTTGTGTACAGAAAATTTATAGCTTTTTTTAACAGCTGCTATGGCAGACTTCATTTTCTTAAGTGGGAAATTTATTGCTGTGTAACTATTTGGCAATAATCCAGTAAAAATCATGTTCGCAGAAATGTTCCCAGATAGCAAATTTGGGGTTCACAATTTGAACATGAAAACATGCAACTTGAACCATGTCTTTCTGGATTTACATCAAAGCAAACGCGCCCTCACTTGTCCAGAAATGCTTGGTCAATTTTTAATGTTTTAAAAAGTGCACCGTTCAGTTCACATAACTCAAAAAAATGTCAAACAGTCTTCATAGTGGAAAATATGAGTACAGAGATACACAAAAAGTGATTCAAAGAAAAATTCATTTCCTGGATCCTGTAAATGCGCTTTTGGATTGGTTCATTGCTACAAAGTAACTGTATAATTCAAGTCGGTCGTAAGGTAAAAGGTTATTTAAACGCGCACGCGGCTATAATGTACATGACAAGTCAATAATATTTAATTTGTTCGCTGATCTGAGTAATCGGAGATCGAGTTTGCCTTTGCTTTGCTTTGCCATACAGATTGTGATTGATTTTGTTCAAATGACTAACGCTATGGGCTTTGTATCTGCTCGGAGCAGAAAGGTGCAGCTTGAAAATTTATAATTTCAATGTTAAATTTATTTCATAATTTATTTGCAGCGGAATTCAACAAGTCAACTCGTCGTGCTGCAGTCGTCTCGGAATGTCCGCCATTTTACATGGTCATCATGTATGCCACTTCACGTTGATGGATCATGCATGTACGTGTATACTTAGCTGAGATTGGTCACTGTGCACTCATCGCAGCCTGCATGTATTCATATTCGCACACAAGGTCGTGGGCTAAAAATCTAGCGCAAAAGTAAAGAAAAACCATAAGCTTCTGCGGACGGTTGCACCAAATTTAACCAAGGCGTTTGTCCTGGTTAAGCTGATTTGCATATTTCGTTGGCCGCGCGTGGTCGATCTGATCCTTGATTTTGCAATGTATGCTGATACGTACTAGGTCAGCGAGTGGCTGGTGTGAGCTGCGCTGCGCCGCGACGGATGACAAACGCCTTGACTAAGGCTGGGCCACAGTGAGTGAGACAATGCTTGTGGTAAGAGAGTCGACAAGGCCACACACAGTACACAGTGGAGAGCTGGGAGGGATGTAGGGTTGGTAGCATTCGGTTTAAAGATTTCACCAGTTCGCCTGGCTGGTGAGTGAGCTCAACATCAAATTTAAAGGTGACTGTACAGTCTGAAAATATTGTCCTCGACTGAGGAATATTTGGATAGTCACGTTGATTGACCAAATGTGCGGAACTTTAAAAAGCTGTAAAACACCACTTCCTTGTTTCTTTACTACTCTGGGGGTTAATAGGTTTTCGTTCGAACAATTATCCATGTGTGAACTGCATGAGGTTCCAAGAGAAGTGGTCAACCCTACATTAACAATTCACAGGGGATGAATGGTCTCACATATCACAACTTTTGGCAGAGCACATTTTTCTTTAAAGAGTATAGGATCTGATATTTACAGGTGTACATTTATCGAGGATAAAACAATGAACACAATTGGGCCATCTTTGTAGACAATGGGCTACAATTCAAGATCTTGAATTAAAGAGAACCCAGTGGCTGAAATATGTGCCCAATGGCCCACGCCTAGTGGTCCAAACTACCTCCATTCCCCGGGGAAGGTGTTGGTTAAGAAATATATAGGGAAATGATAAGCACATGTCCTGAAAATTCATCTGAGCTACATTAGTAAGAAATACCTGAAACTATAAAACTAAATATTTGTGACCCAAACGTTTAAATGTCAATTCTACTTTTGAAGATTAAATACAGTGTGTTCGATTTTTACGGTCAAATTGAGTGCAACCCTGTGATAAAATTTGAGCTTAAAATTATGGAATACCCGCAAGCATATCTTCTACTTTCCAAAGGTCTTCAACTTAGAAAGATGTAATGTTCCAACATACACCTTAGCAATAATGAATATTCTTATGGTATTTGGCAAAGTAACATTGTAAGTCTACTACACACAGATAAGTGTAATTTGCATTGCTTTTTGGTGTCCTCTGGTTTATTTTTCTAATTCATTCTCATACAGTGTACAAAACGATTTAAATAGCACTTATTGTAAGGTGAAGTGATCACACCTGCACGTTGTCTTTTTAACCACCCATGCCGTGGTTACCTGACCAAAAATGCCATTATTTCTGGTGTCCATTGAAAGAAGTTTTTCGATGAAGTCATGTAATTGTGTTGCTGTTAATAAATATTGATAAAACAATTTCTAGCTCAGGTTCCTTGCAAAGTTGGAGCTACAAAGTGGCATAGGTATATCCAAATGGCTTTCCGTTTGACAAAGGGGTCTGCATGCACACTCTGTGAAAAGTTTCTGATTTTTTACACACATGCCCTATGATCAGTTCGATAAATTTAATCAATTCTTTTTGGTAAGAATCTTGCCTAGAAAAAGTACGTTTTCAACGTTGCGGTCTGGTTTCACGTCCGCGTGATTTTCGTTAGACTGAACAAATAATGTACTGCTGGAAATAGCCAAAATGAGGTATGTGGGTTTTATAAGAGACCTTTGATGCTTTTAATGGCTTTAATGAATCAGATTAGAAGATCGTCTATTGTGTGTTTATAATTTTATACGCATGGTACGTGTATTTTCATATGCATTATACAGTTGATTAAAAACACAATTATTAATTTGAATGGAACAAAGCTGAACATGTTTATCGATTTTGTCTGTGTTATTGCAAGTCCTTTGGTACTTGCGAAAATACATGCCGAAATGATA